TCAGGTAATATATTACTGACAATCTTTTTCTATCGTGGAGCGTTTTCTTGAAATTCTTATGTGTATTGAAATGCTAATTTTTATGCATGGCAGATCTGCTTGTGGGGTTTCTAATACACAAAATCCTGAAACTAAGAGGGGTGCCGGAGAGACTAGTGTCGTATTCAGTAATGGTCTGGCTGTTTAATCCTTTTACCTTTACAATTGGAACTCGTGGAAACTGCGAGCCAATCGTTTGTGCCATTCTTCTTTGGATCATTATCTGTCTCATGAAAGGCAAGTCTTTTGTTAACTTTTGGTTTAACTACAAAAAAAAGAATTGGTTTGAAACCCAAGTTCGTGGGCCAACACCTGCGCTTGCACACCCAGAATGCCGGGGGTGTGGGGTGTGGGGGGGGGCTTAAATTGTGGAACCTTTGTTATCTAATCTCTAAGTACTCGCCAGGTACTTGTTACTCGGGGTAGGACCTTGCCTATTGCCTATTTGTTACCCTGAGTACGAGCTACTCGGGGTAACTCATACTCATTGATAAGGTCGACTTGCGGAATTACTCGGAATCAGTAATTGATTTTTTAAGGTTATATATGGAAAATTTATACTCCGTACTAAAGTGGGATATTATGGAATTTATAAATAATTAGTGGGTATTTTAAAAACTGGAAAATAAGATTACTAAGAGATGATCTGACTTGGGAGTTGGGAACAAGTACAGGCAGCCCAATAAGCCTCTGAATCATTGATCCACGGGCAACTGCAAGGAGACAAAACAGAAGAGATAATGTATCATATAGTCTGCATACAGTGATACAGGCTGCTTGATACTGATTTAGATGATGTGCAAGATGATGAACTTGTGGGGAACCTGAGTAGTAAAGATCTGTTTGGGGACATGGAGGATGAAGAATTAAATGAAGACCTTGAACCCAATGAAGAGTGAAGATTCGTTTCAACAAAAGTTCGCAATTAAGTTTTAGATGACTGATTTTCTTGGAAAGTTAGAATGTTTTTTAATTCTTACTACTTCATTGTTAGGATTATAATTATTTTATTCATACTTAAGAATTATAATACTAATAGCTTACTAGAATTTTGGGGCAGTTTTATTTAAAATTTAATTAATACAAGGCCGAGTCACCGAGTAAGCCCGAGTAATCGCCTAATTGGTCCTGCTCACTACTCGTCCCTTGAACGAGTTGCTGCTGAGTAGCAATTTAACTACTGGCTGTGGAACATGACTTTTCCACTTAGTCGTGTTGAGTAAATTTGGCGCTCAGGTTATAGTTTAATTTCAGAAATTAGTTATTACTACTGTCAGCTCCTCTCCTACATACTGTCACTAAGCCTATAAATCTATAATTCTTTATTCTTAAATTTGCAATCTTTATTGGATTCATTTAGTTTCTGCGCCTATTAGTTAATCTACTTTTGAAAAAAATACATTTTTGATCTATACCCATGTTTTCTTGATAACAGGCTCACTTCTCCAAGCGGCACTTTGGTATGGATTTGTTGTCCACATGAGAATCTATCCTATAATTTATGCACTTCCCATAATTTTGGCGCTTGATCCTCTAAATTTCCAGCCTCATAGTACCGAGCCCACACTGACAGATTGGAGTTCTTTAAAGCCAAGTTCATATCTCGAAAGACGTTCTCTTTGTGCTTTCTTGATAAGCATTTTATCTTGGAGGAGGGTGATGTTTGGATTAATATCTGGTGCTATGTTCTTTATCTCGACTGGGTTTTTCTTCTATTTATACAGATGGGAATTCTTGCACGAAGCTCTGCTATATCATCTCACTCGTACTGACCCAAGACACAATTTTTCAATATACTTCTACCACATATATCTCAACTATGAATATGAGTTCTCAGTCTTGGAAAAGCTAGTCTCTTTTTTTCCTCAGATTATGGTGCAGCTAGCAATCATCTTCTGTTTCGCCCAAGACCTTCCCTTTTGCTTCTTCATGCAAACAGTTGCATTTGTTGCATTTAACAAGGTTTGTCAATACTGGTCAGTCTTTAATGTAGTGCCTGTTTGGTAGTTTTTTTTTTTCAGTTTCACCCCTATCAACCGGAATTTTCAGCAAACACTAAATTATTTCACTGTGTTGAGACTTGTGACTGAATTGGTAAATGATAATGAAAAAAGTAACGCATAAGCTACTTTTCTATCTGAAAGCTAAAATAATGAAAAAGTAGCAGTACAACCTTAATTGTAGATATTCTTTTTTTCAACATATTTAAAATCTATGTATCAAATAAATATTGTAGATATTTCATCAAATTCAGTCATTCTACCCACATATTTCTCATATTCAGCCATTTTTGGGCTCTTGGTTTTCCTCACTATTATGCTCTACTTGTAATAATTTTTGTATTACTTGCCATTTGCATACAGGTCATTACTGCTCAATATTTTGTATGGTATTTTTGCCTATTGCCATTGATTTTACCATGGAGTAAAATGAAGCTGAAAGGGGAGGGGCTAGGCTGCATTCTTCTGTGGATCGGAGCTCAGATGCATTGGTTGTTCTGGGCATATTTGCTTGAATTCAAAGGAAGGAATGTATTTATTCAACTTTGGATAGCTAGTTTGCTGTTCTTGGCTGCAAATACCGTTGTCCTCAGCATCATCATAAGGCAACACTGCTACTCTCCGGTGTTCTCCAAGTCTCCACATGGGGTTTCAAACAAAACTGTGAAACACGAATAGGTGTGGTCCGACAAACACAGCTTAATCACAAGGATACATCTTTATCAGACGTAGAGCAACTCTTTTTTTAAAGAAGGGTGGGCCGGGGCAGCTGATAAGTTTGAATAGTTGGGGGCTCTATTTGAATGGTCCCGCATGTCTGATGTCATGGTGCCATGTTGCTCAATACCGGAGTATATATCTTAGTGGCGCTGTGTTGAAAGTATATACATGCTGAAAGCATAGAAAGTAACTTCAATGATTCTGGGAAAGAGTCCGGAGGACAGAGTCCTCGTATCCTTAGAAAGACATACAAAAGATTTGTTATAGAAGAGCAATGTCCACATTTTTATTCATGATTCTGAGTATTTGTGAAGTCGGTTAAGTTACTTGTATGGTTGTATCATAGACACATGAAAGGAATCCACCAAGAGAAATAATTCATGTTTCAAGAATCATCCGGCCTTGAACGTTTTGATTTATAGTGCAAGTATTGTGTGGAACGATATAGATCTAGTGAACAATCTTCCGACGATTTTTATTTCGTTCGTAGACAACCAATAGGCAATAGGGCGCTTTTGTCTTGAAAGATTTTAGTCATTCACTTGCATTTAGTTATACATGGCCTCGGTTCGGGCCGCCTGGCCCGGGACCGGCCCGACCCGCTACTGTGCGGGTCCGGCCCGGCCCGGTTTTCCGGGTCCGGGTCCGGTTCGGGCCGGAGGCCCGGGGGTGGGGCGGTTCCGGGCTCGGTTCATGGGTTTGATGGCCCGGCCGGTTCGGGCCCGGGTCCGGGCCAAATCTATTTTTTTTTAATTTTTTTCATTTTTTTGGGCTGTTGGGCTTGGGCTATCTGTGTAGGCCGGTTTGGGGGGGGTTTGGGGGGGTTGGGGGGGTGGGGGGGTGGGGGGGGGGGGGGGAAGAAAGGAAAAAAAAAAAATTATACCCGGTGGCCCGAACCGGCCTGGCCCGGAACCGGACCCGGGACCGCCCTACTCCAGTTCGGGCTCGGGCCTGCTATTACTGAACCGAGGCCCGGCCAGGCCTAGGCCCGAGGCCCGAACCGGCCCGGATTCAATCCACCACTGCATTTAGTGATTGAGGCTATGTTTGGTTTGATGTGATCAATCGTGTAATATAATGAGTATTACATGTTGATTCAAATACAATGTTTGGTATGACATTTTATTTTAAACTGTAATGCAATGTGCTTTACGTATGTGGAATCCATTACTTTAATGTGTAATAAGCATTGCATTAGAAAAATTATGTATTTGAGATTTCACTTTCTTGTATTTCTTTTCGACTAGCTCTCCCTTTGCTAGCATAGTAGCATATGAACTTTTCTCTTTCAAATTTGCACTTTTTCTTCTTCTCGGGTGTTCTATAGTTGCTAACCATATATAGCAATGGAATATCGATTTCATTCCATTGTATTACCTAGTACAATTTTTATTGCATTACATGCTCTTCCATTGCATTACATCATATCAAACATAGCCTTAGTTTTGTTTCTAAACGCTCAGTTTTGACTAAGTACTCCCTATTTTTATTTATATAAAGATAAACCATTTTTATAAGTAGAAGCAATTTTATATAAAGATAAACCATTTTTTATTTTTTTATAAGTAGAAACAAACACAAAAGGTATTACCATTTTAGACTTTAAACAAATTACTCGTATATTGGATCAAGTCCGTTGAAAACTTGAATCGTGTGCACATTTTCATGCAGAAATAGCTATAGTCCAAATGTCCAATAGAGTTAGATGCTCCGGGTCCACACAAACAAGTACTACATCCGTCCCAAAAAATCTTCTCACTTATCTTTTTGGAAAGGTTTGCATGATTACCATTCATTTACCTTCTTCTTACTAAACCACAATCATACATTTCCACTTTATTATTACTTTCTTAAACTCTGATCCAAGTCAAACCAGAAAGAATTTTTCAGGACGAATGGAGTATAACCATACCTACTATATTTCAATGATCCTCAAATTTGGAAATGTAATCAATAAATTTTTAATTCACATTTTGTGGAAGAATTTGATCATTCAAATAAAACACACAATATATAAAAGTTCGTACATTTATTACTACATGTATGCATTTGGCGCCAATATGAAAGTTAGTCTGATGGGTTTTTATCATTTGATAAAACACATAACAAACCAGTAATTTGAGCAACAGTTTAAGATCTTAAATGATGCGTTCTTGAAATCATATTAATGTATTCCTGAAATCATGTAAATTTTATATAGGTGTACAATACATCTCTAAACCCTTTTATCTTTCCAAAGCATTTACCTTTCAAAGCATATCATGTGCACATAAATCTATTGAAAGAACGTCATTACAATTTACAAATAGCTTTTACCTTGCAAATCAAAAGACAATAGTTAAAATAAAATAAAAAGTTGAAAAAAATGCAAAAGACAAAAAAAGAAATAAAAATTTATCGGATGACGGATGGTGAGGATACTTTAGAGTGTCAACTATAGTTAAGAAAATAAAAAATTGCACTTTCGTGGATTTCTGATTATCGCTCTCAAGTCTCAACCAGACTGACAAGCTGTGGACTAAAATGCTACATACAAGTAAAACTTTTCCTAACAAAATTTTGCCACAAAGTTATATATAAGACAGCCAGGGCTGCCAGCGTGACATCCTTTTTATGAACCAGAATGTTAAATGCAAGGCAAACTTTTCCTCGTACAGTTGTTAGTGGACGGAAGAGATACTTATGGAGCCATAATTCCTTCAATTGTGTAGGCTAATGATTTTGCCCAGTCAGCTTTGAGCAGCAATGTCTGCAGTGTTCTCATTATGTCATAATCTGGGTCAAGTTTCCGTTGCCAACCCTGTCAACACACCATGAAAAGTGCTATTTTAGGAGAATAGTTGTAGACTAAAAAAAACACCCTTTTAAGGCGTGTTAAGATCATGGAAAATGTTCTGGAAAGACAAACAGCACTACAAAAGTTTGCTTGTTTATGTTGGTTTATCTTAGACAATGCAAAGTAATATTAGATAAAAAAATTTACTACCTCCGTCCCACTAAGATTGGGGAAAGAGAAGGTGATGATTATTTAGAAAAGTGGGTTTGTGTGGTTGATATTAAATTGATAAAGTAAAAATAAAGTAAGAATGGTTTAGAACCGCACAAACATTACCAAATTTGGTATAAGACAATCTTAGTGGGACTTCCCGAAAAGGTAAAATGGGTCAATCTTAGCGGGACGGAGGGAGTATAATTCAACAATCTTCACAATCCTTTCCTTCCTATATCTTTCCCTAGTATTTTCCTGGATCCACACAAACCCTTATTGACAAACTTACCTCCAGGACTAAAGTCGTTACCATCGCAGCACACACATTTCCATCAATGTTTACTTGGTGACGCCTAACTTGTTCAAGCAGATGATGCATGCAGTCGGCAGGGTGGACTAAATCGCCTTCTGCAGTCCCCCAAAAATCAAATGACTCTTTGACTTCCTGTTACGAGGATGATTCAAACACAAAAACTTAATTACACGTAATTAAGTTTATCACACCAAACACCACAGCCCACATGCTAAAATTGTGATACTAGCTTTTTAAATAATTTACTACCAAATTAGTCTTTATAAAACTACGACTATAAGTTTAGAACTATACCTCTCCCCAAAAGTCATGATGGTCAAATTAAAAGGTTTAAGACGTCAAGTGTCATTAATCACACCATATCAATCTAATGGATTGGTTGAAGTGTGGTGTTGTGCATTTACATACACATGTGAATATATTTTTAAAAATTGAAAATGATGTGTTAGAATTTGAATGTCAAAGTTGTTATAGTTCTTGTTAGAACTTGAGATAAACGATAAAATGAGTGTGCTCAAAGCTTGATGTTTTCTAATAGTCTGCTGTCTTTATCACGGGCTTCAGGTAAATGCCACAGTAGCTTTTTCTATACCAGAAACTAAACAAAGAATGCTAGACTAGACCAATAGACCCAAACTAAAAAATACTATAAAAAAAGAGGTTTAACCTTAATGAAGGCTTCTGGATTGGGGCAATTCTGGTTCTTCGATAATCTCAAAGTGGCTTCAGCTGCTGAGCGGCCATCTCTGGAAGCGACGGCCTTAAAAAAATCAAGTAAATTTCCCCTGTCATTTTTTGACAGTTCAGCAGTCATGCCGACATCAAGAAAAATGACATGTGGCTTTGTTTTAGAGATACGTCTGCGTGATGACTTGCTCTGAGGTACCCTTACTAGAATATTCCCAGGATGCATATCAGCATGCATAAAGTTGTCTACCTGGAAGAAGGAAAGCTAATTTCAGCATTGTAACACAGATAATAGGGAAAGTAATGGCAGTCCACATTTTTCATATGCAATCAGTGTCTCCTCATTTTTATTATTTTACTTAATATGTTATTAAACTCAACCCATAACATAAGATTGCTTTGAGGTATGCTCATATAGTCATATGTTGCAATTTGTTTCACAAAATACCCTTGATATATACTCGTATCAATCTTACAATAAATGACAGGTAGAACTTCTTACAATCCCCCCCCCCAAAAAAAAACCCTCACACAAATAACTGCCAGTATGAAAAGATGACAAGCATGAGAGATTATATTCCATGCCAAAAAAATGGGGAGAGATGGTTTCTCTTAAAATCTTTCCTAATCATGATACAATCATACTTGGAATTGATCATATCAAGTCTATCTTTTTACTATTGTATCACACACTCCTATGCAGATTTAGAGAGTAACAAATATTCTAACTTCATCTGGAAACATACTTTATTGATATGGTATATCACTATATCCATATAAATACAAATCCAAAAACAAGCCAAGAGATATTGAAGGTTGCCCTGTGGCTAAATGACGCAGCATATCAAACACAATATGATAACAATACAAAGGAGAAATTGTCATTTGTGCCGCCCAATTATTCTGCCCTCTACAATGTAGTCCCTCATTATTACTTTGTTATCCAACCCTCACTTGTTTCTCTAGTCAATTCAGAACTGTCAAAAAGAGGGATCTTATGAGAAAAAAGAAAGCTAAGGCATCACATTTAAGTATAATTGTCCTTAACACCACTCAGAAACCAAAAGAACTACTTCATGCATTGATGTAATACCATACATTTACATGGGGGGAAACAAAGAATATATTACCAGAAGCATTTTGAGAAGTGCATGGGTACCAATGTGAGCAAGAGCACTCTTAAGGCGTTCATTCCCCTGCATCCCATCAACATAGTGTGACACACATTCCCCTTGCTCAAAAGTTTCTACTAATACTGCAGGGTGCACGAGTGGGTACACAGGCTTAGGAAAAGATACATCCTTCCATCTCCGAAAATTATAAATGAAACGACTCAAATGAGAAGCTTCCCTTGCAAGATCTACTTGGGACATCATAAAAACTGCAAATTGCTGGACACTCTCATCCAACCTCAGCCATTTCAGAGCAGGAATGGCCTTTGACATTTTAGCAAACATATTAATGATTTCAAAGTCTCTTCTAATAGATTCACCGACTCCGGGATGTCTAACCTTAACGGCCACATCAATGGGTTTGTTCTCCCTACCATGATATCTATATTTCAGAGAAGCTCGATGCACCTGAGCTATACTCCCAGATGCAACAGGAGTTTCCTCAAAATCATCAAAAATTTCTGAAATCTTACGGCCGAAAGCTTTCTCAATTGTTTTTTTCGTATATGAAAAGGAATGCTCAGGGGCCTTGGTATGAAGCTTTGACAGCTGAGTACATAAATCACTAGAGAACAGGTCTGGGCGAGTAGCTGCCCACTGGCCCCACTTTATAAAAGCGGGCCCTGCTCTTTCAAGTGTTCGATGAACAACCTCAAGCCACATTTTGCGGAAGCGGGGTCCAAGAGCATCGGCAAAAGGAGCCATTGTTATGCTTGGTGCGAAGAGTATTGTCAAATAAATCCCTCTAAACAATAAAACAAAACCTTCAAATATTGAATGAACCAACCCTGTAAAGAAAGCATGGCCATCTTGAGCATGCATATAAAGTGTATTTCTTGGGTGGATGAAATCCATGTCAGGTGGTGCTCGTGCCCATGCAACACGCCCTCCATATAAAATGGAAAAAAGTCCGGGAACAGTCACATATGAGCGGTTTAAGGCCAAGCTAACTGCTTGAGAAATTTTACTTATGGGAAGAGACGTCCACCCCTTAAGTACACCAGTATTATTTGCAGAATTGGACTCAATTTTTTTTAGATTGTTGGACAGACCATTTTTAATGTTGTATGCCGTGAATGAGTTATATCCTCTAGCTGAATGTGTACATTGCTGATAAAATCTATAGAGAGGATAATGTCTCCCATCCATAATAAGGATTCCATATTCCTTTTCTCCTTGATTGAGGCTAGACCGACTTTTCTGTAGCGCCTTTGCAACTCTTATTATATTATTACCAATTGCCAATAATCTGTATCACAGTTACAGGTCAGAAATACGGGCATAAAGATGCAATATAAAGTCTTAAATATTAATGTAACAGAGAGGAGAGAGAGAAATAGATAAGAATGCATTAGCATCACAATATGTTGAACGAAATTATAAGATCTGTATACAAATTCATAGAAAATGAAGAAATTAATAAATGTAATTATGAACACTATCCATGCATAATTAATTTTTCAATGGATAATCAAGAAAGCAGCCACAAACATTGATCCTTTAAATTTCACTCGATTGAAGATACTTCATTCCTCTATGATGATGCTATATTACTGAGCATTAAAACCCTATCCAGCTATTTACCTTAGGGCTAAATGAAAAGGAGTTAAGGTGCTATGTCTTCAACTCTATGTACCACAGAAATAGTAACAAGGACACAAACAACAACAGGACAGTTTCCAAATTTCCTTAGCCAATTTTGCCACCAAACTGACTGAAAAACAGTAAGAAAACAAGGGTAGAGTGGTAGAACTCTGCCTTAAAGAAGCCCCCCATGCTCATTGCTAAAGTATCTTTCAAATGTTCAGAGTTGTACCACTTTGGTGGTTTCAAAAAACAAAATCAAAACATGTTGGATTTTTTTGCCAGCCCAAAGAGCTAAGGGATGAACTTACTAATGTAGTTCCCTTTTCAAATGCCAGATGGTGGTAGTTCTACCACATGCTCCAGACCTGAGACCTCTATATTTGAATATCACATTAGCCAAGGGGCTAGTAGCCCAATGTTCCTCCACTCCCCCTCTGTAGCGACCTGGTCTGGTCTCACCTGGTCTGGTGGATGTTTGTTCTATGTGTATTTTACCATTGTCGAAGTCTAGTCTGGTATATTGTGGTTTGCTTAAGTCTTGTCTCGGACCGAAACCAGTCCAATTAAAAACATCTTAAGTTTATATGTAAGGCACTCTAAGGACAAGTGAGTGATGTTTCACAAATTTACTCCAACTCCAACAATCTAGCTGGAGGCAAGGGCAGGTACATCTCTAGTTTAAGGGTTCAATTTTATTGATTGATTTATTTGACATATGGTCTCCACTTCACACCATTATTCCAAGCTAAAAAACACTCCTAACCTCTCGTGATCATTATCTAGATATTATTCGATAACCTAGCAAGTTCAATATGAGAAAGGGAGCTGAGAGAGAAAATCCCCAATTTAAAAAAATCTAAATTCAGCTAGAGTACAAGAAACCATTTAAAAGAACTCCAACCAAATAGCAAAGCAAAACAGATACCATATATACAACATGAGAGCATATATTTACTAGAATAAAGTAGTTGGAAGCAACACAACCCACTGAATTTTAAAAAAAAATGTAGAGAAAACACAGAGAGAGGTGTGAGGGCGACCTTGACATGGCCGACAAAGCTTGGAGGTAAGGGTTCTGTAATGGTCAAGCCAAACGTGCACAGGAAGAAACAACGGCGAAGTGTCGGCGAGAAGGCATGCTCCAGAGATCGTCAACCAATAAAATAACGAATCTAAATCCCAGTTCTGAGTATAGCTGATTCCGGAGAGCAAACAGATAGGCTGAGTACAGACCTAACTAGACGGCGAAGATGAAAATATCCCCTGTTTGAAGGCCAATTAGGGGGTGCGTTCGGGTTGGACCAACGACTCCAATGTGAGAACCGAGAAGGGGATGATGGGGCTAGATTTTGCACTCCATATGTTTTAGAGAGATTTGCAATAATTTTACAATTTTATGAAGGGACAACCAAAAAAGAAATTTGACAAAATTATAAGAGATGAAGACAGATGAAGGGAGATGAATTAGTAATTAAAAAAACAATATAAACTACAAAAATTACACACTTTTTTTAGATAATTGATAAAAATGAAAAGGAGAAAACTTATAATGATATAGAATTAAACATGTAGGTTTTAAAAATTTGAAAACTTACAACAGAAATAGTTTGGTTTTAATTCGTCCCTTTTTCATTACTTGAAGTCTTGAACGTGTAATCATTTTATCCCAATCTCTATTACTTGAACCTTCATCATCCCAATTGTCAATACTTACATTGCTCTCTCTATCAGATGTCTATTTTCACTTTCTTCTGACACTTCGTCTATCCTCTTTCCCCATCAAACACACAAGGCAACATCTCACACCTTTTGCATTGTCATTCCCCTCACACGGCCACACCTCCCCCGGTCTCTCCCAACACTTCCAGTTGGCACCCCCTTCTCGGCCTCTGTTCCTCTCCGATTATCAACTGTCATTTCGGATTTCCCTCCTTATCCATTATGGATATATAATACTACCTTCGTCTTACTAATATTGTGAATAAAGGGGGTGACACAATTATTAAGAGAAGTGAATTTATGTGGTTGATATTATTTGATAAAGTAGGAATAAAGTAAGAATGATTTAGAGCCACAAACACTTTACCAAATTTGGTATGAGACAATTTTAGTGAGATTTCCGGAAAAGGTAAAATGGGACAATATTAGCGTAATGGGGGTAGCAAAATATAAAAACGCAAGTTATTTTTTAATTTTGATATATTAGTCACTTTATCGCATCTAAAAAAACCTTGCTTGATTATTATATGTTGCATGCATCATTAGTCTTCAGTGGATGGTGGTGATATAATTTTTGCAAACTTTTTCACTCTTTTGATTGGATCACCGACGATTTTGCTTTCGCCGGAATCACATAGGTTAACTGACGGCCTTAATCAGAAATTTGGTAATCTCACTACTACAAAACTTTTGATTTTATTGAGTTATTCGCCAACAATTCAGCATTCAAGGAGATAAAAAAATTCCATGTATGTTGTAATAGTGAATGTTCTACACTCTACGCAGTATTAGTTACAGAGTATGTAATTGATTGTATTGAGTTTTAAATTATATTTGAGGTAGATATGCGATCATTGTATAGTCGTATATTATCACATAACTTCATATCAGAATCTTTAAAACATAAATAAATCTGCATGTTAGTTTCTAATTATGTTATTTGTATATGAACAATTTACCCGTCACCATTACGGCATTACCCACTCAAACATATTCAATTAATTAATCAGTGTTTCTTAATTTGTATGCAATTTAATGCATTGCTCCGTTAAATTTTGTTGGAAAACATGTATAAACAATACTATTCAAACTCAACAATTACTTTCTTAACACACTAAACAATGCACTTATACATGTATTTTAACCCCTATGGAATTACTTTATTAGAAAAGTATATAAAAGTTTATTATGAATGTCTCATTTTGTTATGCATAAGTATTAAATTAAATGAATTTGATCGAAAACCTATCTTTTGTAGCTGTTTAAGTGTTTGTATACAAAATCATTAGTTTGAAGAGGCATGAAACACTTCGAAGATAGAGCCTTGATCAAAATATTACTCCTTCGAAGAGCACGTAGTATTAGTATATGTCACTAACTAATGTGCTAAAAAATTATGTAGTTTAAAAACTATTTTTTAAATTCTGAACCTAACATTAAGTCCTCAAATTAAACTAATAATATCTTCAGCCATATTATTCTCAATCCATGGTGATCAGATCAGTACGTGATAGTCAAACAATATAAATTCATGAATAGTTGGAGATTCTTCCTTCAATTCTGATGTCCTGTATAGCTTTGTCCAAAATTTTCGTGTATAACTTTATCCATTGAACATGAACTGTCAAAAATAAATATATATTAGATTTAAATTAAATTGTAAAAACAGTTACAACATACTCAAAAAAACTCAATACATTGCTTATTAGTTGACATAGTGTGACCTCTCTTAGTTGCTCTTTTGATGCCTAAATTCCCCAATAATTTTTACTTCACTTGCACCTTAATGGAGAACATTGTTGCCCTTCAAAACCATGTGGTTATTCCAAAATTGCAAAATAAATAACAAAAAAAAGTTTCGGGCTAAAAATATATTTATAAGACTGTTGTTTAATTTATGGATCACTCTTAGCCATGATTCTGAAGAGAAACATGGCTAAAGTCACAAGCTTAACATGGCTAAACATGACTCTCTTTGAAGAGAAACATTCTTAACCGTTCCTAAAGTCACAAGCTTCAAACCAAAACACCGAAATAAATACTCTTTTTGCATAAGTAACATTGTAATTGCATTTGAATTGCCCTCATAACTTGACTAGCCACGTAAGCTTTTGTAGCAAAATTAAAATATACTCCAATGGTTAGCTATAACCTTTTCTCTTCATTTATTATTTTTAATGTTATATTTAATATTCTCTTTGCTCAAGCTAGTAACTCATTTAGGCTAATTAGCTTTCTCAAGCAAATGGAAGAGCAATGCTCCAATGGTAAGTTAGTAGCTTCAAAATTGCAAGCAAGTCCCTAGAAGCAACCATTGGAGATGCTCTAATACACATTGCTTTTTGTAATTACAAGAGACAACCACTGTCTACGGGTTGTATTGGAATCACAGCAGACATTCATTTATTGCAATTATTTAATATTTAATACTACTAAGTGATCATCCGTTTGCCAAATAGTTTTGGCACTTCCTGCCCAAAATTCTCTCCACTATTCCGTTTTTATATAGTATATAAATATAAGAATTTGCACTATTATTTAAAATCATTAATGTATCACAATTTTAAAAAAAATTGTGAAGGAGTGAGGCTCATGTAAAAATAATTTTAAAAACAGGGTGCAGAGTAACATAACACCCAAAACGTAGGATGGAAAGTCAAATAACACCCTTGCAATTTCTCCCCTCATTTATGTCCGATGTAGCGCACTTATTACGAAGTTCGTATACCGTACAACCAACTGTATGGTGTGCACCGTACAGTCGGTGACATTTTTGCAATTCAAATGAAAATTGTGTCTTCCTCTAAATAAGCATTAATGCACTTTTAATGAGCACCAAATCAATTATGTTGATATTATGAATCTAATAGTGAATATCGTGATCTCTGCTTTATATGTTCTAATTCACTTATTAAACTATATCTATAATCAACTCCCATGAAGTTCAATATGCAAATCTAATGTAATATGCTAGTGGTTTTGAAATATGCATTATTATGACATTTTAAAAATGAGCATAACATCATTGCCAAATAAGCATATGTAACTTACGAAATGAGCATTGATATGCAAATCGTAACTTTTGTTACTTGAACATCAATACAATCTCATTGAGTAATAATCCTTCTTTATTTAATACTCGTATTAAATTATGTAATTGAGTATCATAATACTTTTGAAATATGCATTGATAAGACATTTTAAAATGATTATTATATCAATATCCAATGGACACACATAACTTATAGAATGAGTATCGAAAAATTCAAAAACTCATTTGAAATCTTTAATGTGCTCAAATATCATTTGTATATGATCATGTCTTTTTAAAATGAAAAGAAACAATTATACATGGACCTATATAGACCTAACCTTAATGGATTCTTAATTCCAATTTAATCAACACTACACCATTAATTGTTCAACCCCATCCAGCCACAAAAAAAAGGATGACACCCCATCCCTGAGGGCCCCCCAACACCGACCGGACGACACGATGGGAAGATGTAAATTGGACTATAATTACAATCTAATAGATAGAGAGTGAGGCTCCGTCCCCGGTACTTGCAGAGGCCCTATGCAGCCACGTTTCCACGAGTCGCTATCTGCAATTTCATTGTTGGCCTTCCACGATTCCACCTACAGACGCAAAGAAAGAGTACTCTCCACCCCAAGATCGTTTTATCGTTATATCTCTTCAAATTTAACAATGTTTTATCGTTTTAAATATAAAAAACCTGCTATTACTTGTCAAAAACTTAATAAATGGCCAAATTGATCAACTTTTTAAAGTAGTGTACTGATATGATACTTTTTTTTAGTATAGTACAAGGGCTTTAATGATGGTTTGAAAATAGTAAAAGGGCTTATTTGACCCTTTTCCCTTTCAACTTTTCTACCTTTTTTATCCCTCTCGTATGTTCTTTATCTGTTTATATTTTTTATGTTATCCTTTTTATCATTTTTATCTTATCTTTTTATCCTTTTTTATCTTTTAATCTTTCTTTTTTATATTTTTAAAAACATCATAAATTTATCTTTGTATCATATTATGTACAAACATCATAAATTTATAATTGTGAAAAAAAATATGTTCATGTTGCTAATCTAACTTTTTATTTAAAGTTCCGGGTATATAATTTACATATGCAAGTATAGGGTACTTACCTCACCCCCTTCAAAGTTTGGGTTATATAAATTAGTTTTCCCTTTTTTAATCACAAATGAAAAAAATCAGCTTCATTTGATCAACTTTGGTTTGCCTTTTGTTTGGGACAAGTGATTGAGACAAGATTTTTTTGGTGATACACCTGTTTGCTCCCTTTTCTGAGGGAGCATATTATTTTGAAATGCACCTTTGTGTAAGTTGTCATTCCACGGGCAGCAATCCTTACAAGCTATAGATTATCTAAATGATCAGATACTCACAGATGAAGCATGCTTGTTTACGGTAAGATTTTTTGCCTTTGGTTTATTTAATGAACATTTATGCTCTCAGTGTTGATCTCTAACTTAACCTGTTCATAGGCACCTTATTGCAAACTGAACAACAGTATGCATGCAAACGCGACAGACTTCCCTTCGGAACTTATTACCCAATGTGATGGTACTCTCCTAATGATTCAGGTAAATCTTGAGGTTTGGCGTTTAATTATGTCAGATTTTTATGAGAAGTAACTTTAAGAATAGTGAAATCTCACTTAAAGGACCCAAATAAGATCATTACACTCTGATGTTGAAGCGCCTCCAGTAAGGGAAATGTGGCCTAGATTTACCCTATTTGATAAATCGCCTTTTGGAGGGTTTTAGTGTTTTTAACGTGAAATCAAACAGAGAAGATTAGTGCTTGGTAATGAACCTATACATGAGCTAAAAGTAATAGGAAACTCATTTCCATAAAGCTCACATCTGATTTTTTTTAGAAAAGTCTTTTGAAAAGGTTCTACATACAAAGAGCTAATTACTACTCCTTCCCTCCAAATTTTCTTACTTTATTAATCTAAGATTTATATGACAATATTTGAATTCGATTTTGCGTTTTCATTGAACTTTTTTTTTTGGTAAAACTCATTGAACTTTTAATTCAATATTTTTTTAACGTTTTATACTAACTAAATATTAGTGGGGATTGGGAGGGTGGAGTTGATCATCATTCAAACATCGACACATCGTCTGGAACGGAGAAAAAGTTTTGAGGTGAAAGTGCTGTTACTTTTTTTATTATCAAAGATTAATTCAAACAGCTAATGTTAACAACAAAATTGCCAAATTGCGAAATTATTCCCTTCCCTTTTTGTTGGGAGCTGTGACATGAGGTACATCCTTTTCGATGTGTAATAGACCTATATACAATTGATGTGTAACTTTGCGTGATTCTTGATAAACAACAGAAGTGTACAGAAAGGCAATTTCCTCCAGCTGATGTGGCAAAAATACTGGACTCTACGCTTGCAAGCTTGCAGACTAGATCATCTCAAAACCTACCACATTATGCTGAAATAGAGAAGTGCATGGGGATGGTAAGAAACCAAATACTAGCTATAATACCAACAACATAAAGCCCATCTGGCAAGAGTTATTTGGGCAACTATTTGAAAGGAAAAGCGTTTGGTAACAACTATTTCAGCAAAGAAGCAATTCAAGTCATTTATTCAGATTACATTACCGATAAGCAGAATAAATTGATATAGCTTCCAAATAGGGGCGTTGTCACATGCTTGTAAATTCATAGTGTAGATATATTTAAAACAAAATAGTTATAATTGTTGTTGTCTTCAATGGTGACTGGTTAAATTCTAGACTGGACTAGAGAATGTGCGCCAAAGCATGGTCTATGGTGTACCTGATTGGTAGTTTAGGCCTAAACCAACATAGTGGTAGTAGTCCTAAACTTGTAATAGAAAATTGAATACATTTTATGTGAGGTATTGCAGGTTCACACGCCTGTTCAGGTTCATTTAATTACTTTTGTAAAACAAACTTTCAAACTTGCTTGATATTCATGTGTAGTTGTGGAAGTCAATTATATTTTATAAAATCCAACTTGCGGGAAGTTATTTTTTGTAAAACTTTCACCATCTAAATTATTGCGTGATATACACGACTTGCCAATTATTACCAAAGGTACAAATTTCACCAATTTTGGTCTCATAAGTCATAACTATGCACAAAGTTTAGACCCCTTATATTAAAGGCTAAAGGGTCAAATATGCCCTTGAACTGACTTAAAGTGTTCAATTAGCTCCTTATATAGGAGGTTCTGTCTGGCCGTCGCTAATTGGGGCAGTTCCCGGTGGAATTTTTTGATGAAATTTTTTGAGCATCTTCTTCATTAAGTCTAGTTTACTCATACCAAATTTCAGCTAAAAATTCAACCGGAAAGGCAGTCGAATGATTTTCTGAAATTTGGCAGTCAAACTTCGCAGTTATCTTCAAAAAATCATTTGACTGCCTTCCCCGTTGATTTTTTAGCTGAAATTTGGTATGAGTAAACTAGACTTAATGAAGAAGATGGTCAAAAAATCTCATCAAAAAATTCCACCGGGAACCGCCCCAATAGGCAACGACCGGGCAAAACCTTCATATAAGGGTTCTAATTGAACACTTTAAGTCAGTTAAAGGACTTATTTGACCCCTTAACCTATATTAAAAGACTCATTTTCTATGGCTAAAGGCCTAAAGCTAACGTGGTATTTAGGTCGCCCACAAGTCCACAACTTATGTGAAAAAATCACGTGTTTGTCCATGCGCTTGAAGAGTTTACGTAACTTTAGTCCATGACTAGTAATTTTCTACACATCGTTGTTTGTAGCTAACCTCATAACCTCACAATACTATCCTAATTATCTCTTCACCAGACAGACTGACAGAGAGATATCTTTTCTTTCAAAATTCAAGCTTTCTGTTTTATTTATATTACGGTTATGGACTTATAGTGAGTGATTTCCAGTAGCAAACTCCATGAAGTGATGAAGTATATTAAAAATGTAGTAATAAGTTACCTAAATAATCGTGAATCAAAAGTGGGTGAAGTTGTTGATCGATGAATTGTATATACAACTAATACAAGGCTGGTTAAATTTATATGGTAGTATGGGGCTTATAATTTATTATTATTATTATTATTATTATTATTATTATTATTATTATTATTATTATTATTATAATTTGAATGTCACGTTAAATCCAACCCTTCGATCAAATACATTTCCAACTTCCAATAACTAATTCATAATCTCATGATACCATTTTTGTGCTATAGTATATATGTAGTATGTACTACTCCAAAAGTGAATAATTTTCTTGCTGGCCGGAGTAGCTGATGATGACGTCACGATGATGCATCTCCAGCTCTTCCTCCGCCGTCAAATGGCTACTTGGCGACGTCGACGGCGGCGTTGAAAAATCGGACAATGAGGTGGCAGGCTGGAAGCAGCTGAAATCATTCACGTCGCCTGATGAATAGAGCGTTGACGAATCGGACGGTGGAGGATAGCCACCCCTGGTGGACGGCTGAGGATCACCGTAGTAGCCGCCGTCTTCTTCAACAGTAAGACGTGGCAAATAATAGTCCCCTCCTCCCGTCAAATTAGACGGCTGTACATCGTTATAACTTTCCCACTCATTGGGCTGCCAATAACTTTCATCCACGGCGAGAAGCTGGTCCGTATTGGGCTGCTCCGTGACTTGAGCCGGACTTAGGATTGGGCTACTTTGGGTCATTGTATAATCTTGTGGATTTTGGAAGCCCAAATTTAACGTCGGGCCTGGGCTTTGGGAGGAAAGTAGAGAAGCAGTAGGAGAGCTTAGGAGGTGAGGATTCAGCCCACCTAACAATCTTGAAAGGCTGATCTGTTGAAGAAGAAAAAAATTAAGAAATCTGGGGGCATGGGTTACGGGATCGATTCCCATTCTGAGCAGCCTTTTCCTGATGTGAGTATTCCAATAATTCTTTATTTCGTTGTCCGTTCTTCCTGGCAAGCTTGCAGCTATTGCTGACCACCTATATATAATTATATATATATTTGTCAAACTAATCTTAGATATTTATTTATAAATGGAAAAGTTGACGAGAACAATCTCACATTTCACTGGTATTCTCATAATAATCTCACATTTACATAATCTCAGAATAATCCTACCTTTGCATCCCATCTTCTTTCATTGGACTCTGACCTATTGATGACATACTATACCAGGTTTTTTACTCATTCTTTGAAAATATTACTATGTATATAAATAATCTCACCTTTATAAAGATATAATAAAACAGTGAAAGGTGAATTATTTATATGATTTTTAAAGAAAGGGTAAAAAACCTGGTATAGTAGGTCATCAACAAGTTAGAGTCCAATGAAAGAAGATGAGGTGTAAAGGTGAGATTATTCTGAACTTACGTAAAAGTGGGATCGTTATGAGAAGACCAGTAAAATGTGAGATTATTCTTGTCAATTTTTCCTTTATAATATTATATATATTCTGAAATAAGAACCTGGCCGCTTTCTTCTAGAAGAAAATCACACATAAAATGTACTCCCTCCGTCAAGAAAAGTAGAATCATGTGGTTGATAATGAGTTGATAAATTGAGAGTAAAGTAAGAACTAAAACTATACAAATGTTACCCAATATGGTATGAGACAATAATAGAGGTACATCAAAAAATGGAAAATGGGACAATTATAAGGGACGGATGGAGTACTACTTATAATAATTTACTGTTTCAATAATATTAAGTTCCTTTTCCCCTCTTCAAGTGAATCCAGTAGCTTTATGTTTTTCCAAATCAATGTAAACTTTTTTTTCATAAACTTATAAATATTCCCTTATCATTCACCTCATTAAAAAGTATTATTTCAATGACAAGTGTTAAAACCAACTTTTCAAGCGTCACATCATGCTATGAATTTAGAATTTAGAATGATCGATTAATGGTAAGACCTTACAAATTAAACCCTAATTTTGTTTGGGGGTTAGATTTTGGAGGAGAAGAGGAGAGAAGGGTTTATAATCTTCTTTTCGTGTTTGGGTATTTAAAAAATTTAAAGGGGTGGTCAAAAATCTAAATCTTTCAAAAGGCTCACTTGTTAAGTTATCCCATATTGGAGAGTTTTGAAAGATAAGTATTTAGATGATAACTTTAACTGAATTTATAAAATCAATACATGTTCAATTATTTGAATGTATTACACCTCTGAAACGATTTCAATTATAACTAAACATTCATAGCCTATCTTTTTTGAAATTTGTAACTGCCAAATATGAAGATTAATTTCTTTCACTTCTTCTCCACTTGTCCTCTCCTACAGGTTAACTTTCAAAGCCTTCCATTCCGCTTCTTTCCATACTCCCAAACATACTTACATACCCTAACAATCGAACAAAACTTTTTTCTATGTGAGGAGGTTATAGTACTGTTGTTATATTTGTGTGTATAGTATACGTATATATGTACATATAAATGTTTGTAAAATTTAAAATAAAACAAAAATGTTTGTGTAAAAAAGGCGGGGATACCAAAATGCGCATGCATAGAAGTCTTTGATTTGAAAAAATCTAATCATGTAGTTTTCTTTTTTGACCGATTTTAATTCAAGCGGAAAGATAACATCACGTTCCTAACTCTTATAAAGACTAGTTTCTTTAACTTTATAGATTGGCGCGGGTACTAGTTGAAGTGTATGATTTGATCATATGTAAATGTCATATTCTTTCTTATCATATTTGGAAGGATAATTTGAGGTTCTAAACGTAGTGTAGAGATATATGGGAGTTTCCAAATTTTAAGAGATACTACCTCCGTCCCATTCAAACATTCAAACGTTCCAAACCACTATTCATATGGTCAACTTAAATCATTCTTAATCTTTTACTTTATATATCAATTTTTTATCAAATTTATATTTCTTTATCAAGTTTTGTAGCGGTAATGTAGTTTTTGAATATGTAAATTTTATTCACTAAAATAATCAGATTGTGAATAGGAATCAAATTAGTTTATCATCAGTCAAGCATCGTAAACTGAATCGAAAACCTCCCTATGGAAGGACTGAGGACAAAGGGAGTTGTAGGTATTTATTTGACCAAAACAAGTGCTGTACATACTTGTTTCCTAAGACACGATGGAGCTGAATTATTGTCTCTTCTTCATCAAAGGAAAACCTTCCTCTCTTAATATCAGGCCTCAGATAATTCGTCCAACGTAGCCGGCAGCTCTTTCCACACCTTTGCAAACCTATATAACTCATTTTGAGGCCGGGCCGAGATTATTGACATAATTATATTAGAAACACATAAATATTACGGAGTATTAAAGTATTTGTTTCACACCGAATTACTATAAAACAATCACACACTATATTATATATGATCCTACACTACTTCTTGATCGTGATATTAGATGATTTTGTAGAACGTAATAGCATATAAATGAAAGCCAAATCAATGTTAAGGTTAATAATATAAGTACTTACCAGCATTCTTGGGGAGGGTCCTCCAATTTCCATGGCCATGTTTATGGATGTAATCTATAAGAATTTGATCTTCATCAGGGGTCCAAGGACCTTTCTTCAGTCCATTCTTTTCACAAAATGGTGCTCTCCCCATCTTAAATCAATTCATATACTATACCAAAAACAATCTGTCGATCTGTTAATTAATTAGTTTGTACTTCTATACTCAATTGGAAACTAATAATGATCGAGCTTGGACTATAATTGCTTATTAATTGCTATGCTTAGTATGTATATGATCTGAATGGGAATTGAAGTAATAGTTTAAGTGGTTAGCTTGGAGAGTGGTGTGTATATATAGAGGGATGGAGAAATGTTGGTTAGTCAAAGGCATTCGGTCAAAACCGCCCTATGTGTACACTTTGCAACGTGTCCCTTTTTCCTTTTTGTAGAGAGTATAATAATAATAATAATAATAATAATTGTGTAATGAAATTCAACCCTTTGATTGTACCCTCCGCCCAGAACCAATTAAAGGCAGCCACAAACGAGGGGATGAAATGTCTTAGGGAGTAAATGAGCCGGGCCGGATGGAACCAGTGCATGCTTTAAATCACCGTTAGAAAATCTCAACAACAAAAACTCCACGGCAGAGAACCATTAATGCTCGGTTCGTTTCGAGGTTAACCTAGGTTATTGCAGTTGTTGCAGATTTGATTTCTGATCAACTTCGTTTATTTGTACTTTTAGGAAAATAACCTAGGTTTTAAATAAATTTAAGTTGACTTCACATAACTCCCAATACCTATGAAAATTCAAAATTGAAGAACCTTCCAATTGAGTGATTTTGGAGGTTATGTTCTCGTAAAACAAAACAAAAACATCATTCATTCCATTAATAACCGTCACGTTTCACTCATCTCCCCTTATCCACACGTTCCTTCTCCCTCAAACTGTCTTTATGGACATCATTTCTCGCCAACTTCAATCACCCGCCAACTTTATAGCAGCACCAGACCGGGTTTTTGTCTTCCTCTCCCCCCTCTTCTCCCTTATTTTTATTCCCCTTCTTTTCGGTTGTAGTCTCTACTATAATCTACACATTTTTTAATTGTCAAGTGAACAATTTTTTGATATCTATTATCATAAATAAGATCACTTTGGCTTAGTCGAACATATACCTCCATTACAACCGCATATTCAATTGTTGTTGCAGTCTCAATCACAAATTCATGATCCATTGTTTTAACTTTGTTAGACCAAATCTCATGTGGAGCATCGACAATATTCATGCACTAATACTATACATATACATATGAAGGGTACAAATGTCATCATTAAATTAGAGCACGGCATCCGAACAACAATTTATTACAACCTAAGTTTAATTTCTCACACTAGATTTACTTAAGTCCACTCTACCCGATCAAAGCATGGTTAAAGTGTAAAAATAAGAGTATATTTTTAGAATTTCCTAAATAGGAGTATTTTTTAAGTTTGAACAAATAAAGATACATCTGCAGGAGTTGTTTTCGGCCACCGCAGCCGGAATCCAATACCGTTGGAAGTTTCCAGAATGCATCAGCCACAAGCCACCTGCTGTCACCACCACCACCACCAGACTGCTCGCGCATCACCAACGGAATGACCAGCCACTAACAAGTTGACCCGATTATGCAAGGTAACTAGAGGTCAATTAATCATATTAATTAATTAGATTAAAGATATTAAGGGTAGAAAATTAGTGGCTAGTTCTATTCACAAAAAATTTGGCATGAACTCCGATCATATTTAGGAATATGAGTATGTTTTACGCCTATTAAGAGCAATTACCTTTGTATTCTCTCACCCTAAACATGAGAGTGTGATCACTTTAATTTAAAGTGAAATGTAGAATAAAAATGAAGTTCATATAAGGAAAAAGGCTGTGTTAAGAATTTACAATGTGTTCCACAAAGACCAAGTTTGAGCCTTGGGTATATTAGGCTCGAACTACGATAAAGAGCATTTACAACAATCTCAAAAGAACTTCAAATTATCAATTATACTCCCTCCGTCCCAGGGAGAAGTTCCCACTTTCCTTTTTTGGTAGTCCCAACAAAAAGTTCCCATTTCCCTAAATGGAAAGTTATCCTACATCAAAACAGTGTCAAACAGTGCAAAACAGTGCCAAACAGTGTCGAAACAGTGCCAAACAGTGTCGAAACAGTGCCAAACAGTGTCAAACAGTAAAATTTTCCCCTCAGTAACTTTATTTCCTAAATATGTGTGAAAGTCAACCCGGGAACTTCTTCCTGGGACGGAGGGAGTATATTCTTAACATTCTTATATGTTAAGAATATAGTAGTAAGAGTGAGCAAGTGTTATTACATGCTAGTGAGAACATGCCCTGTAACAATGTTATTGTTCGGTGGTAATCGGTACCCCAAATGTCAAGCGTCTTTCACTTCTTTTCAATTGGGCCGGAGCTATTGGTCTAGTCGCGAACACGACATGTCTGACTCCTGTCGGGCCCCAATCTATTTATATCAAGATTGTTTCGGTCTACTACTTCCGTCTTAATTTGATAATCATGTTTCTTATTCATTTGGTCAATACAAATAATTTTTAATCTTTTATTTTGTATATCTAATTTTTATTGAATTTGATTTATTTTTTTGTGACTTTGTAAAACTTTTAATATAGTTTCTGAATATTTAAATTTTATTTTATAAAATAATTTGAGTGATCAGTGATCCGTTTGTTTTATCGTCAGTCAAATCTCATAAACCGCAATCAGACCATCAAATTGGGACGGAGGTAGCATTATTTAATCTCTTTTTCAGTACAAATTAAGACATGGTCCTATTTTATCAATTGAAAAGGGTGTAGTAATAATATAATTACTTAGTATATCCATCATTTTTTCTTCTATAAACAAATCAATTTTCTAATGACTGTCTTAGTGATCAAGCATTGGATGTCTAAACCCTAGACAATAGACATGCCAAAGTAGGAAATAGCCTAAACCCCAGTCATACCAAAGTAGGAAATAGCCTAAACCATAGACATGCCAGAGTAGGAAATAGATACATCGAATGGATTTACAATGCTATGCCATAGATGCAGGTGGCATGCATTAACTTGATTTGCCATATTTGGTGAATGCACAATGCACAAATGTCAGGAGTTGGCGATTAGGCTCTGTTTGCAATCTCTGTTGATAAGTGCTTTTGTTTTTTTTAAGAAAAAAACACTTATTTTATCAAACACTACCAACTTTATTATTTCGGTTTTCGTGTAGAATCTACTTTTTACTTTTCCAATTACACAAAAAACACTTATTTTATCAAACACTACCAACTTTTACTACTTATCACTTTTTCCCAAAAAGTGATTTTATTTAAGCACAAGTGGTTGCAAATAAAGCCTAAAGCTACCACAATCACGAATGGTTATCCCATTTGGTAGCACGAAAATCGGCTTATTTGGTTGATTCTGCTGAAATTTATGAAATTCTGGCTGAAGTGCCTGCATTGGCTGATTCTGCTGATTTAAGAAAAAATTATTTTTAAATATGTTTTATTAATAAAATAAAGAAAAAATTATATGTAAAAATAGCTAAAATGGTCATCCATAGTAACTTCAACCAATACAATCAGAAAAGTAACTCCAGCCATATTTTTTTTTCTTATTACACAATTCAACACGCGAAAGCAAAAGTTACGTGTTTGGTGAAAAAGTTGGTTGATAAGCCTGAAAAGCCGAAAAATAGTATTGCCAAACGGCCTTTCAGTTTCTTCGAGCTAGGATTGTTTATAAGTTAAGTAGTACCAATTCGAACGCAAGACTCTTAATAAGGATGTTAGATAACTATGCAAATTAGTAATTTAATCGAATATAAGACTAGGCATCAATAGAATGTAAATAAATAAACTGTTACGCATAAAAAAGGGCATTTGCCCCCACTCATATATCATGTGGATAACACCTAAATTCCAAATGCTGGATTTGGTCCAAATGAAAATAGTTAATTCTTATAAATTTTAGTTTGAAAAGCATAACATATTGGATATAGGCTGGCAATCCAATTTATGAAAGTGCAACGGCTTAGTTTGGGCTAACTTTGTGTACATAAAAGTGAAAATGATTCAAGCCCAACAACTCCTACACTAAATTCTTCCCCATATGGGAAGTCCTGAATTCAAGTCACTAAAGAGGTAAATTTGTTCTTCCAAATGATGGTCCTATAGGTTCTGTTTGCAAACACAACTAAAAAAGCACTTTTCAACTTTTGGCTTAAATAGTTAAAAAGATGTTTTCAAATGACAACTTCTACTTAAATGAATTACTTAAAAGTTAAAAGCTAAAAGCTGCTTTTTACTTTTTCTATTACACAAAAAACACTTATTTTACCAAACACCACCAACTTTTACTTTTCAAAATCACTTTTTTCTCAAACACTCTCAACTTTTACTATTAATCACTTTTTTACCAAATCATTTAAAAAAGTTAAAAGCACTTCCCAATTGGGTTTGCAAACAGGGCCTTAGGCCCGGATGAGATCAAGAGTCACACAATCAGTGTTTAGCCTCGCCTCAAACGATAGCGTGACCGTCATTTTCTTGATGGGAACCTGGCGGTGTGAAGCAATCATCGACAATTCTCTCGGGAGATGTGCTGGGAAAAACCTTAAAATACACACAATCAATCAGTTAAAAGTGATTTCTTGTACGAGGCGGTGTATACTGTATAACATCGCAATAAAATCTAATGAGACTCCCATTCCAATTATCTTCTCCTTCTTCATCAAAATACTAATTTAAGACCCCGATCAAGATTTTACTATATTTTCTTCATATTCAGATTAAATTAGTAGCAAATATAGTTTTTTCTTATCTATCAATTTACAGCTAAAGATTTAATTAGTAATCTAAAACAAAAATTAGAGTTTGTATTTTAAAGTCAAGAACTTTTTCAAGTTTCACTTTATACTTTATCAATTCGTGTGATTCATAATCTATAAAAATATACACTACACTTGCATATTTGTACACACCTAGTTTAAATTTTTGTATAACGTGACTTTCACATTTGGCACATGAAGCTTACACTTTGTATTACGTGACTTACATATCGGCACATGAAGTTCACTTTTTGTATAAAGTCATTTACACCAGCATTTATACATGTTTTGATTGTAATGTATCACATTTATCCTAAATATATACGGAGTACACAATTTATTAATATATCTCACACAGGGTTCATATGCTCGTATTTACATTTTTTATAACGACATTTACATAAAAATGTAGCATGACA